AATATGCAAAGCCTCAAAAAATGTATCACGTACATTTTCTCAGGAAACTATTTGAGGAGACCCTCTATCAAAATTAACATGCAATCACAGAAAGAGGAAGACGTGGGATACAGAAAACAGAACCTAATGCAGATTGAGCACAAAAGGAATCACAAGGAGAAACAGATACATACATATGTAAATAATTATTCAGAAGCCCCAGGATTATGACTATGTGCCAGGCACAGAGGGCACTTTGAGGGTAGTCATCACCCAATAGCCAACCCTACAATGGATTGTATAAGCTTTTCAACCCCAGAAAGAGATGCTCCATTAAAAAAGGGGTGTAAACCAAAAGAAGAGAATCTAGGAAACAGGAAATCAAAACCAAGAACAAAGATAAAGGGAAGTTCCATGTTCACAGTGGTGCAGTAGATAAAAGAATAGATAACTCTGGAAGGATATAGACAAGGGAAAAAAACAGATTATCTGATGAGTTGACCTCATGGAAAATTGAGAAACAATTAGACTATGTGAAAACAATTCGCAAAAGGTATAAACAAAACTAAAGAAAAGATTGATAAAGTAAATATTAGCCTCCAAAAAAACAAAAAGAAAAGAAACAATTATAGTACACTATACTGCTCAGCTGAGAATACAGTTGACCCTTGAACAACATATGTTTGAACTGTGCTGGTCCACTTAAACATGGATTTTTTTCCATCTCTGCCAGCCCTGACACAGCAAGACCAACCCCTCTTCTTCCTCCTCCTCCTCAGACCTACTCAACATGAGGATGATGAGACTAAAGACCTTTGTGATGCTCCATTTCCACTTAATAAATAGTAAATATATTTTCTCTTTCTTATGATTTTCTTAGTAAAATTTTCTTGTCTCTAGCTTACTTTATTGCTAGAACGCAGTATATAATTCACACAACATACAAAAGGTATTAATCAGCTGTTAATGTTATTGGCTTTAAGGCTTCTGGTCAACAGTAGGCTATTAGTAGTTAAGTTTTTGGAGAGTAAAAAGTTATATAAAGACTGCATGCAGGGTTGAGGGTTTGGTACCCGACTGCTGAGTTGTTCAAAGGTCAACCGTACTCCATTTACACATGCCAGTAGCTCTCAAAATGTGGTCTACAGATGCTTTGAGGTCTCCTTTCAGGGGATCCACATGGGCAAAACTATTTTCATAATAACGCTAAGACATTTGCCTTTTCCATGGTACTGACATTTGGGTGGATAGTGAAAAAGCAATGGTGGGTAAAACTGTTGGCACCAGAGTACAAAATCCAGGCGATGGTACCAACTGTTTTAGTAGCCATTAGATTCTTCACTAGTTTGTACTTGTAGTTAAAAAAAAAAAAAAAGCCAGTTTCACTTAAAAATGTCCTTGATGAAGCAGTAAAAATTACTAATTTTATAAAATCTCAAACCTTGAGTATATACCTTTTTAATATTCTATGGGATTAAATGGGAAGTATGCATAAATCATTTCTCCATACAATTATTGTAACTGTCTCGAGGAAAACCTCATGCGTTTGAGTTGCAAGCTGAAATAGCCACTGCTTTTAAAAAGAAGGACTGACAGAAAAACTATGGTTATTCAGAATATTTGACATTTTCTCAAACATTAATAAAGGGAGCCTATCATTTCAAGGAAAATAACCATAGTATTTATTGTGAATGACAAAATTTGAGTTTTCAAGCAAAAATTACATTTGTATCCATCACCATGAACTTGTATAGCTTCCCAATAATGAGGATTGGTGGTGATATTAACAAATGTGATATGGAAGATCTGCTTATCTCAGTGAACCAATATTTTCCAAATGAGCAATTCATAATGTTAAAAAAAAAAAAAATGCTTGGGTAAAACACCCATTTAAAGTGCAGGATTGGCTGAGCCCAGGAGTTCAAGGCTGCAGTGAGCTATAATCAAGCCACTGCACTCCATCCCTGTTTCAAAAAGTAAAATTTAATTTAATTTAAAAAGTAAAAGGCCGGGCGTGGTGGCTCACGCCTGTAATCCTAGCATTCTGGGAGGCCAAGGCGGGTGGATTGTTTGAGCTCAGGAGTTCGAAACCAGCCTGA